TCAATTTGGAAAATATTCAGCAATTAGGAAGGTGGTCTTCCAGGGAAACAGAAACTGAGAAGGGGGAGTGGAGGGGAGGAAAGACTGATCTGATATTGACAACTGTAGCTGGCCAGTGACTGTGATCTTTCCCTGAGTTCCCTTCCAATCACAGTGCTCTGGGGGAGGGATGTAGAAACAGCATATAAGGCTGTGTGAAGCCTTTCTCTGCCTTTTGTGAGCTGTCTGTCTGTAAGCAACAGTGTGTCAAAGGTACTAGCTGGCTTCTTAGTCAGTCTCTTGCTAGTCTGTCTTCTTGGAAAGGATTGGATACACCTTACTAATTACCCTCACCTAGTATGCCTCTATTTATCCCTATCCAATCCATTCCTTTCAACTTATTCTTCCCCCAAAACCATCCTATTTGTTCTTATTCCCGCTCCGTCCCCCCCCGCCCCTACTTTTTAAAAAGAAAGCTGTGTTTTCCCTAGCAGTATCATCCATCACTGCAGGAAAGCACATATCACACACACACACATTAAACAGATAGTATATTACACACATGCACACATTTTCCAGCACAGCAAACATTATGAAGTGTGCTGGAAAGAAAGGTGCCAGGTCCTCTGGAAGGGGAGGGAGAGGGACTAGATGGGGTAGGGGGAAAGCTGCAAGTCCTGTCCCCCGCCTCCCCCCCACAAAACATAGACGCACCCTCTTTCCTGGCAGTGATGAGTCTTCTTCTGCCAGTGGGAGCAAGGGGGTGGGAGCAGTACCTGTCCTTGCACCTGCACCACCTCCACTGACACCAGAAATAGGCACCAGCACGACAGTCTCCTCTACCCCAATTTCAGCTCCCAGCATAAGCCTCTCACTGCCAGAGGAGAAGTTGGATCTGGAAGCAGGGATGAGTGCCATAGCCAGGGAAATTCTGGGGAAGGAGGGGGAATCTGAATTTTTGCTCCATGCCCCTCAAAGTTCCCCTAGGGCCTAGAGACAGGTCTCCTTCTCTGAAAGGCACCTCAGATGAGGTTGTGGGGGCAGGTGGCTCAGTTTCCCCATTGTTGTGCCTCTGCCTGCTTAGGAGGGGGATAAGGCAGGATTCCCCCCTGCCCTCAACCCAGAAGGAGGGGAGGTAGTGTAGTGTGGGATCATTTTGATTTGGCAGATGATTCCAAGTATGTTACCTGCCAGCATTGCCAAAGGCAGATAGCCTTCACCAGCATGGCGATGCTGCTGCATTTCAGGAAGCAGCACCCCCTTGCTCAGCAGTTCCTCGCTCAGCCAATGGGAGCATGCCCAGAAAGAAGTCCCACTCTTGCTCCAAAGCCCCCGTCCCCATGAAGCAGGGGTAAGGTGCTCTGGAGTGGTGGAGGAAAGCCGCAGACAAAAGGGACTGCATTGCAAGGGTGAGCAAGGTCACCCAGGGCACCAGGGAGATGCTTGCGAGTTCCTGTGCTGTGGAGCCCCTATGCTGAGGCATCCTGCACCCTAGCCAGCTGCTCCTTGGTTGGCTGGGGTGCAGGGTGCCTTGAGACAGGGGAGCAGGCTGCCTCCCCAGTGGAGCCCTGCACTGAGGCACACAGTGGAGCCCCTACGCTGAGGCATGTGGAAGCCCCGTGCTGAGGCACACTGTACCTCAGCCAGCTGTGGAGCATCTGGCAGGGGTGCAGGGTGCCGAGACAGGGGAGCAGGCTGCCTCCCCAGTGGAGCCCTGCACTGAGGCACACAGAGAAGCAGCTAGCCTAAGGCTGCCTGCTCCCCCATTGCAAGGCACCTTGAACCCCAGCCAACTTGGGAGCAGCTGTCTGGGGCACAACGCAGGAGCTCTGCAGCATATGGAGACAGAGAAGCCTCACCCCCACATGCCACTCACTGGCTGGCTAGGACACGGGGCACCTCAGCACAGCGGATGGTTAGCCCCTGCTGAGGCACCCTGTGCCCCAGCCAGCCTGCTCCCTCCTTCCCTTCCCCACAGCACACAGAGCAGCAGGATATCGTGTCTCACTGAAAAGCACATGGGCAGGGTCATCTACTGTGGCACAAAATGGCAGCACAAATTTGTGCCATTACTATCTGTGCTGCTTTAAAGGCATGCTCATGTAGACCCGGCCATGGGGTGCATCCAGATGTTTAGGCACAAGCAGTTTGTGGCACTGCAAACTGCCCACAGAGAATGTTAACATGCCCCGGTAGCAAAAAAAAAAAAAAGGGGGGGGGATGGCAAAAAGTGGTACAAAGCGATGCCAAAATAGCTTGCTCCAAGCCAAACATGGAAATAGAGGAGCAGACAGCCCAAAGCACTTCCACATGCTCCCCCGTCTGTGTGTGCTGCAGAGCCCCCACACTGTGCCTACATTGAGACACGGGAGCTGCCAGCCTAGAGCTGTTTGCTCCCCTGTCTTGAGGCACACTGTGCCCCAGCCATCTGTTCTGCAGTTGGCTGGGGCACAGTGTGCTTCAGCATGGGGGCTCTACAGCAAGCAAAGGAAGACTTGGGAGCAGGCATCCCTGCCTGCTCCCCCATCTCCACATGCCGCTCCCCAGCAGCCTGCTAGCTAGCACTGCACTGAAGAACTCTGCCCCCGCCAGTCTCCTCCCTGCAGCACAGGGAACCCAGCAGGGAGCTGGGAGAAGCTGGGCACAGCCCACAACAAAGGGCATGTACAGGAGTGTGCACTGCAGCACAAAGTAGTGGTTTGTCCTACTACTACTTGTGCTGCTGCAAGCACATACCCCTGCTCATCTGGACGTGGCCACAGAATGGAAATGAGTGCATAGCTATGCTCTGTGGCAACAGTCCTGGCCTTTAGGTTGGGTAAGCATTATTTAGAGTAGGACTAGGATTAGGCAAGGTCTTGTGACAGTGCCTGGGCTATAGTTAAGGCAGGGACCAGGAAAGGCTACTTAGGCTTATGCAAAAAGAGGCTGGTATGGCTATTAGAAGACTACAGTGACTCATCATAGAGCTAATGACTAGTAGACTATGGTTATGGTTACTTCATAGGACTCCCTAAACTGGTGTTTAGGGTTACTTAGGCTCAAGGTCTGCAGGCTAAGGTTATTGCAGTGACTGGTAGTGTTGCCTGGGCTAATATTACCATTACTTAAAGTAGTACTATCAAGCAATGGTGAACATTATTCAAAATAGAAACCCAAAGCTAGTACATGTGAAATTATGGCAGGACTCCCCAGCTTCAAAAGTCAGTGGTATAGCAGGCTCATATACAGTTCTGCAGGCTTGGCTTAGGGTTTTTCACACTAATATAACCAGGGTTATAGTTAAACCTAGCTACGTTACGTCTCCCCAAACTAGAATTAGAGTGCCTGATGGCACCACCTGAGTTATGGATAGGGCAGTTGAGGTTCCAGTGCTGGAGTAAGAATAACCCATTATGGCTGGGAAGGCTATAGTTAGGAGTAATGATAGGAAGGCTCTCCAGGCTAGGGGTTGTGCAAGGGTTGAGAGTTCTGCCTGGGCAACAAATGGTTGACTCGTGAATGGATCCCCCAGGCTAGGGTCAGGGATACTAAGGGGCTAGGGATGGATCCCACCGTCTACCTAAACACTAACCCCCCTTGAGCAATTTTTAGGGTTACTCAGAATAGGTGTCCTCCACCTACCGTTAGAAGAGGTGTAGGCAGGGATTCCAGGTTAGGATTAGAACAGGGCTGGAAGATCTGTCTCAACTAGGGCAAGGATTAGTTATGAGAGAAATTAGGGCTAGGGTTACTCAGGGAAAATCTCTCTGGTTGCTTAGGATTATTGTCCCCAAACTAGGGTTAGGATTGCATAAACCCCCAAACATAGAGTTGGTCAAAATAAGGTCCAAGGGACTGTGCTTAGAGCACAAAGATCCAGGTCTCTGGGTATTATGATCAATCATGGTAGGGCTCCCAAAGCTAGAGATGGCATTTTTTTCTGTAGGGTAGGATTACAGCATGGGGTACCATAATCTAAGGCAGGTACCAGTAGCACTATGCAGACTAGGATTAAGACAAGGTCCCTTCCAGCCCTAATGTCTATGAAATCTATGGAATTGGCTGTCTGGGCTACAGTTAAGGAGCTAAGGCTATGGCAGACTTATATACAGATCTTCAGCTAATTGTTAGTGGCAAGGCAGGCATGGTAGGGCTCCTCAGGCTAGTTCCAGGGTTAATCAGGACTCAGTGTGCTAGGGTTTGACTTAATGTAGGAAGATGATGATGGCAAAAACAGTAATTTTCCATGCAAAAGTTTGGGTTATAGCTTTTAGGGTGTCCCAGGCTAAGGTTTATAATTTTTCAGTTAAGGCTTATAATTCTTTGGCTAAGAAAATGTGGGCACGCTTTCCGAACCTAGGGCTTTTAGTGTTTTCTGGGCTAAGGTCTGGATAACCCAAGGTAAGCCTCTCCCAAAACAGGTATAAGGACTGAGCCTGGGAGGGCTAAGATGAAAGCATTATGTTAGAAGTGACAGGACACCTACAACAAGCGTAAAGATGGTTTCCCAATCAGGCTAGGGTTGGATTACTCACCTTAGTGCTCCCCAGTGTAGGTTGCTTAGGATAGGGTCACAGTACTACAGGAGGTCCCCAAGGCCTAAGGTTTGGGAAATCATGCCCCTCAAGCTAAGGTACCCAAGCTAGGTTACCCATCTCCCTGGGACAGGGGCTAGTAAGGCTACACAGAGTGAAGTTTACTTCAGTTACGGTCCAGGATTCTTTACAGTAGGTCTCACATGGTAAAGGGTTAACATTTCTTTGACAACTCTGACCTCAAGCACCACAAGAAAACATTATTCCATTGCCTAACATGCTAGACCATATTAATGAAACAGTGACCAAAATAAACCTTCCCTGATTGGTGGTGTGGTATTGGAGAGAGTGGGATCAATTCAATCACTTTTTCACAGCATCATCCAACATCCAAAATCTAATCCAAAGATAATGATAGCTCTACCCCAGTGAACGATGTCTACAAAAGAACCAAGTACACATGTAGAGTTTCAAAAGAAATTGAGGAACTGACTTTTTAATTTTACAAATTCTTGAAACTTTAATTCCCTTATGGATTTTTCATAAAAACTAACAACCAATTTCTACATTATTGTGATAAACTGGCATGAATAAGGAAATTTAAGATTAACTGGAAAAAGGCAAACACTTTCTTCAACTTAAAATACCAAAATTTAAGACAATAGTGATTTATTGTCTACCAGATCATGCTTTACTTTTTTTTCTTTTCTTTTCTTTTTTTTTTTTTTTTTACAAGTCCAAAACGAGTGGAAAGAACTATACAATTGTGATACTTCATAAAAATGCACTCACCACAAAACATGGTAGTTGTTAGAGCAAACACACTTTTCAAAAGCTTAGCTGATTTTAAAAATAATCCTAAAAAATACACAATGTTCATAAAAATACAGTAAAATGCACTTTTCCCACCTCAATAAATATATTTTAACTCTGCATCCATTTGGTGATTTGAGTCACCAGAGAGCTCTTAATGAAGAAAAAGACGTAGTATAATTTCTCCTTCTAAGCTCTCACATTTATTGCATTTACATCCAGAACAATAAGCCAGTAGATAAGAATTTTGCTGTCTTCCATTTTTGCTCAGGAGGGTAGAGGAATGGGAGAAGGTGGGGTAAAACTACAAACATTATTCCCAAATTGATCCATACCACATAAACCAGTCCAAAGAACAAACTCGGTTTAAAAAAAAGATTTTCTAGAAATTAGATCACATTTAGAATAATAAAGTCTATAATCATGGTTTTTAAAACCTCTGTTTAATATGTTTTTTTTAATCAAACAGTTTTGTTAAAAATAGAGGTTTTAGAATATCTTTAAAAGAAACAGCTAAAATAAAAGTGCTGTTAGAAAATTGTACCCCCCCACTTTTTAACAGATGTTGCAAACTTTAAACCATTTACTTGAATGTAATTCTATGATTCACACACACACAAACACACACTTACTTATATGAATGTATATCCCTGATCATTTTAAGACATTTTCCCAATGGCTTAGTTAAAATGTGGTTAAAAGTCTATTTCAGCTGGTCACATTTTGCTTTCCCACAAATATAGCAATTTTTTTTAGAAGACAGTTCTTTTTTTCTGCGATACAGTTTTTTTAAGAACGTCATTAGCACTATCAGCATAAGAATTAGTGTTTTACACAGTGTATATCCTGTGACAATAAGTTAAATATTACTGTGCCCAGTGAATCCTTCTCATATGCAAAATAATCATTTCACGGTTATTCTAAAAAGCTGAAAGACAGTCCTTTGGTTCAAGTGTCCTTGCACGTGAGCCTCTCCATCTATTCATAAGTCGTTACCTGAAATAGATGAGTAAGACTGACATAGTTAAAAATACCCAGGATGAACCTGAAGGGTAGAAGAGGCAAACACACCAACAAATAGTTGTGACTTCTCCAAATCATTTGCAGCATCTATAATTCCTCCATTTCAAAATGTGTGTTAAAGCTGTTTGCCATGGATGTATGTTCAAAGATCCTTGTCAGGCTGGGTTTCAGGAGCTCCACTGAATGACAGGACAGGTGTTGTGAGGTGTCATTCTTCAAGGACATCATTTGATCTGTCCCAGGATCTCTTCTGTCATAATACAGAGCCCATAGCAAAGTAATAGTGAGGATCATAGCCAGAATCTGTGTAACTCCAATAGAGATTCCTAGAAACCGCAGCACTTGCAACTGTTTTGTTCCTCTCAAGAAAGTGTACATTTTTTTCCCACAACCCTGTGAAACAAAATAAACAATTAGTCAAAATTACTTGCATCTTCCTCAGACTTGCAATGGTTTTCCTTCCTTTAGCTAATGTTAGCCATCTGATGTATCATGGCATATCTCCATCTCCTTCAAACCACACTTTTTAAAATTACTTTGCTGGCCCCTCTTCCTCCCCCACTAAACCAATCCTATCTCAATGTTTTCTCACATACTAATGGCTTTAAAGCATCTAACAAGCTCCCTGTGAGCTGTTTTATACTTTTCCACTCCAGAGCCCTGCTCATCTAGTCTATATGCCTATCAAATGTCTGGGTTTTATAGGAAAATTAAATAATTTCCAATATTTAAAACTGGTCCACTAAGTTCTTTCTTATTCATCATTTTATCTAAACTACATGTTTAAGGTTTGCTACAACTATCATTATCTTTTAATCCTGAAATCAACTTTATTTTAATATCCTTTTGATTTTCCAAAACAACACATTTTTGTAATACCATGGACAGAAATTAAAAGAACAGTCTAAATAATCTACAAATTGCATAATCTAATCAATGTTTCCTCAGAGTTTTCTTTTCTACTGTATTATCTACACGTATTACGCATTAGCTTTTATTTCAATAGAAAATGGCTACAGAGCAGAAAACAATGTTACATTCAGGCTTTACAGTCACACTACTAAACCAAAAGGTCTTTCTGACTGTAGAAGTGTTCAAAGAAGTAACCTTTACAGAAGGATTCTTGATCAGTTCCTGGAAAATGCTGGATACAGATAGTACTGTTAAATCAACAAACACATATTTTGCTAGTCCAGTTTTTTTATTCATAAACTAGCAGCCTCTGTTCATTGCAAAATAACAACAAATTAATTAATTTAGATTTGATCCTTGGAGCACCTCATTCCAAATAGCCAGATTCAGATGCTTATCTGTACACAGAAGCTGTTTTGTGATTTTTAGACTGTGATACCTTCAAGTCCTCAACTATTTCATTACTCAGATACTTTGTCCAGGGTCAAACCTGCTATTTCTACTTAAATACAGTAATGTGCTCTGTTTATAACATTTTTTATAGTTTGCTGAATATAAACTATTAGCAATCATAACTGAAGAATGACAATGATACCAGTGATACTATGAAAAATTGCACCAAAACTTTTCAGTATATAATGAAATAGTTTGGAACATCTTCCCATCCTGCATAACACTATCATCCATCTCACTTAACTGCCTGTCCAACAAATCATGCTTTCTCCTCTGTGACATAGTGGTGTTATGGTATTCAGGGCTGTTAAAGCATTTAATCCTGGAGACTACATCATTTTATTTCTGTTGTTCTGTTCTAAGGGTTTTTATTATTATTATTATTATTATTGCAGGAACACCTAGGAAGCCCAGTGCTGTAAAAAACAAGGAAAAATGGCTTTTGCCCCAGATAGCTTACATACTAAATATCATATATAGTAAAATTGCTGCATGAACTGCCTCTCCTCCCATTTGTGATAACAGAGCATCTCTGTATGAATGCCCAATGACTGTTACATGGAAAAAGTACTATAGGAGAAGTACAATATTTTAAAAATGGCTGAAAACAAATTCAAAGAGCCAACATCATCTGACCAACCAGTTCTCTACAGACCCCCAGCAAATGTCCTACATTTCTAGAAATGTCAGTAATCACTGAACAGGATATCTCAGACCAAACAAAAATATGCACAGATGAGTCAGACTGTGCTCTTTCTGCAGAAAAATCATTGTGAGGTGCAGAGGAGCCTTGCAGAGATTTCTGTAAACCATTTCCACTTATGAAAGAGGATTCTGGGGAGGAAGCAGAGAGAATGAGGGGTCTCATGGAGCTGTAGGAATGGAAGCTGTCCTGTGGGAAACCCTATCAACTCCACTTTCTCTCCAGCAACATGGCTTCACTACTGAGTCACTGGCCACATCCTTCAGTAGAACCAATGGGAGGTAATACAACTCCAAGCTGTTCTCTGTCCAGATTTCCACTTTGAATCAATTCCGCAGCTTACCAGGAATAGTGCTGGGGAGAGTGGCAGATCAGCTGTTTCAGTCTAGCCCATACCCATCCTACCACTGATTTTTACAGAGCTTGATCTGTATAGAGATTTAGGAGGGTTTTCAGCACAGCACAAGCACGTGAACACTCAGAGAAAGAGATCTGCATAAGACAGTGCCATGGAAGCACAAAAAGAGACAGCAGCAGTTGGAAAAAAATCAACAACCCACCAGATTTATCATGTTCAAAATTTTATTTCTGTGATATGACCTTATAAGCTATTTGATACAGTCTTCATATGATATCTGAGCAATGGCAAAAAAAACCAGTCTAAATACTAAGCATGATCCTGTTAGCATTTCAATCATGCTAAAAGGTTCCAGAAACCAATCTTTATTTAAAATGCCACAGTGTTAAGTTTGCTTGATTAAAAGCCTGATTCTACACAAGCTCCAGAACTCCCGTTGAAGTAATTGGGCTCATAGTTAGGATCTGAATTCAATTCCCCACATTCTGAAAAAGTTTCAGAATGCATTAAAGTACTGAAGCCATCCTTCTTGTACCAAGCACATTAACAAGACACAGACATTCCACAAGTTCATCCTGTGAACAATAACACAGGTAAGACTCAGAAAAGAACAGAAAACAAATCTGTTGGGCTTTTTAATTTGAAAACTAGATCTTTGCAGCAAAATACTTTTAACTGAACTTGATGCAGGCATTTGGGCATCCTTTCCCTCTGCTAAGATGAACGGTTGCAATTATACTGCTTTCCAAATTTGTTTTTAATTGGAAAGAAATTGGCTGTATTTTAATACTTTTTTGATAAAGCTGAAAGGCTAAGGTACACACTAGTTGCAATTTAAAAAATGCTCACCCACAGCAGTATTCAAATTCAGTTCATTTGCAGCCTAAAGGAAACTACTATTAATGGAGAACAATAGCATTAATCCCTCCATCTCCTGCAAAACAGACATATAACTGAGACAAATTATACCAGATCTATCTAGGCTGTCTCCTTCCACTTAATGATGCTGTTGCATTTCTGCTCTGATTCACATTCAAAATCAGATTCCAAAACAAGAAACATCAAGCCATCTCTGTTTCCCCCCACATGTATATGCTTTATTTATGCTTAATAACACTGCTCTTAGATGGTAGCTTAAAATTAACAAATGCACAAATATACTCAAGAACAAATCCCATGTTAGTGACAAACCAATGCCTTCATAACCACTTGTAATGATCATTCAGTATGGTATTGATGTTTCAGGTTTACAATGTTACCAATTAAGGGTTCTACTCTCATCTACTGTACCACAATTTTAAATCTATGGTAGTTTAAAAGGGCCTTAAAGTGTGTGGGGGGGGCACTTGTACTACTGCTTTAACCGCAAAAATGGTGTTAGGTTATTGAATCAGGTTTTGGAAGCTTACTTCTATGCTAAAAAACAACCATATACAATATCATCAGCTTACTCCACATATCTACTTCATACATTTATTTCGAATGGTAGTAGGTTACAACAGGGAAAGAAT